CAGGACATTTTTAGAAAACGTGGCGTGACACTAGTCACGTGACCTCACTGACGCAACAATACACTTCAGTAAAGGTGCTACTATATATTTGCCTTTAAAATTATGTTTGTGAGTGTTTGAGAATAAAGATAGTTTCAGTGATTGATACATTATGTCCAGTTTATTTCTTTGCTTCAGACTCATTTGAGATTAAGTTAATTCAGATTCTCCTTCGCAAAACATCTTGTGGCTAACCGCCAGTTATTCAACGGCTCCTACGCGAATACTCGAAGGTAAATCAGTGAATTTGAAAAGAACAACATTATCTAGCTGTAATTGTGTAAACTACAACCAAAAATATCATTCTGACTTCTATCAATATTAATTTCATATCATGTTATTATCTAAGTATAAAAATTGTACTTAACATGTGATTTTCTAAGTTTGGTTTGTTATGAATTTCGCGCAAAGCTACACGAGGGCTATCTGTGCTAGCCGTCCCTAATTTAGCAGTGTAAGACTAGAGGGAAGGCAGCTAGTCATCACCACCCACCGCCAACTCTTCGGCTACTCTTTTACCAAGGAATAGTGGGATTGACCGTAACGTTATAACGCCCCCACGGCTGAAAGGGTGAGGATATTTTTGGTGTGACGGGATTCGAACCAGCGACCTGCAGATTAGGAGTCGAGATTTTCTAAGACTAAGAGCATTATACTCGTGTCTCAATGTGGTCAACTAAGAATATGAGACACTCACGTTCACTTTTTTTGTGTGAATGAGTTGACACAATTTTTCTCTTGTGCAAGATAGCTTATTTAATGCATATTCTTGAAATCAAATCCTCTGATGTATTTTCGAAAAAAATGCTGTGTGTGGCCTGGCCTTCATAGTCAATTTTTGATATGTTCACGCATCACGTAAGTGTTTTATGTGTTCAAATATGATATGCAATAAAAAACAAAAACGGCGTATTTTAGTTTCATAAAATATTAAATCTTTATTGCACGTTTCAGCCGACTAATTTCGATAACACGTACTTGCTGAAATTTCTAATAAAACTTTATTTTTCATTGTGACAAAAAGTGTCGTTTTTGTTTTTTACTCTTAATATAGTAGCACAATGTATTTGAAAGAAATTAGAAGTTATTATATGTAATAAACTAATACTTGTATACTGATTTTGTACTTGATGAACAAGTTCTGGTGGGCTACACAGATAAACGATTTCACGTAATAGAAGCACTGCTAGTATCTAAAACAGACAAATACATTGTGTTGCATGAAATTGCAAACTTTATGCCCTTCGAACAACGACTCATTGTATCAAGAGAGTAACATCAATCTTAGAGACAGCTTGTGATTTGTTTATCCTTTTTCTGTTGTTGGTTTTCCAGCGCCCTCTATTTGACTTGATAATTAGTTCGTTACAAGTGAAATAACCTACTTGGTTTGTTATGTTAGCCGACTTGAGTTTGTGAATAGCTTTAAACGTTCTTCGTTATTAAGTTGGAAATTGTTTGAAAAAAATATTCAAATACATCTTAGTGTCTTGATTTACTATAAGTCGACTTAAAAAGGTATGATTTTAAAGTAATGCCTCTTCAGAAAAAGAAAATTGGTTGTTATAAGGTAAGTCGAACTTTTAAATCTTACGTAGATTTTGACGCAGTTGACGATGGTCATGATGCCGGTAAAACTAACGCCAGTAACGGGAGTCGGCTTGGCATTGATGATAGTAGTAAGGAAAACTTCACAAGTGGCAGCAACTTGACAGTAGATCTTACGGTAAGTAACTAAATATCGTATGAAACCATTTTTCTGATTACGTTTAATATTTAGTTAAAAGTATTTGTTTCCACAAATACAGACATTGAAAGTAAGACATAAATTGTACTTTTAGTTTCTGTTCGGTCTTGTGAAGTTGTGTCGTAAGAAGGAAGTTCAGCCGCTGGTGCTGACTATGACTAATAGTAATAGTATTACTATTAGTATATTAGTTAAGCAAGAATGTAATTTACTTATTTTGTGTAATTGTAAAAATAACGCGGCCTCTCTCTCTTAAACTTTGAAGTTTTATTTAATTTTAATCATAGTTGTGGGCCAAAGTTGCATTATCATCAATCAACGTCATTCACACACACACAGTCACAGGATACAAAATATTGAGAAATCCTAAACTCATTCCTAAAATCAGCAAAAATCAAAACTGATATTATTATTAGCAAGTTAGACCACAGAATTGTACTCAACTCTAGCTTTAAAGTTTGATAATGATAATAACAATATTAGTACTAGTAGGTGACAGAAGGCCATTTATTTAGTCAATTTATGTGGCATGAGAAAGAGACCAGTGTAGACTATGCTATAGTAAATATAAATTATACTATTTGTTTCACATCTACAAAATTATCAAAAAACAAAAAATAATTAAAGAAACTTAAACTACCAACACATATGCAGGATATTAGAGAATTGATTCATATGTATTGACAAGAGGCTGCTGAATTTCTTCAGGTTATGAGAGATTACTTTTGACTCAGCATATGAAAGATTATAACATATAAGAGATTGATCAACCAGAACACCAAGATCTTTCCTTAATTTAAAAGTTATTCCTATCAAAATAATACTTGTTATTAAAATATGATAACCCACTTGCATTGTTTTGCATTTATTTTAAGTAAAATTCATTGCCATTTATTTGCTCAATTTATTAAATGATTTAAATCCCTTTGTATAGCAGCAGTATCCTTCTCTCAGCTAGCAACCTGCAAGATCTTATATCATCAGCAAATTTAAGTAATATATCTAAAATTTGTTTATATACATCACTGAAGTAAATCAAAATGAGCAAAGGTCCTAACACTGAGCACTGAGATACCTCATCTTAGACATCAGTCCAGTTTGACTAAACTACATCTGTAACAACCATTTGATTTCCTTCATCCAGCCACTTTTGCATTCAATGAACAAACTTATCCCCCACAGCTATAGAGAAAATTGTTTTCAACAAGCTTTTTATGAGGCACCTTGTTAAATGCTTTCTGAAAATCGAGATGCATCAAATCCATGCCCCTATCTTTGTTTACCTAAGCATTAATTTCTTTGATGAATGTCAAAAGATTACTAAGGTAAGATTTACTCTTAGTGAAGCCATTTTGACTATCCAACAGAATTTCAAATTCTGATATGATACATACTCACACAGTAGATTTTCTCGATCTTCCACTACTCTCTAATGCATTGAAAAACTTTTCTTGCTTCACGCACTAGCCTTTATACCCCATAAGTTCAAGCTGCTCATTTAGCATGCATAGAGCATGATAAACCCTTCACCAATAGGAGCATGATGCACTCTCCTTGAACAGCTGGCACTTCTGTTCTACCTTATGTGAACCTCAGGTTCTTAATTGGCACAGTACAAATTGGATGTGTTTGTTGCTTGCATTCAGTTTTGAATTATGTTTTTTTACTGATATTTTGGGCTTTGTTCATATACATTTTTTTTTGAATAAGTTTGTTTTGCATTTTGGTGTGTTACTGACTTTAATCATTTTTACACAAGTTATTGCAAATTATTGATTTGCAATTTGCCATGATTGCCACCACAGCTCCTTAAGTTACTGGGGATACTCAAACTTCTGTTACCCAGGCCTCGGGATCAACATTGTCTGCTGAAGAGGTGGAAGCCTTGGTTCTTCAGAAGATAGCTTCTTACATGGGTCCTGGGCCTTCTTCTCCACAATGGTCAGCACCTCTTCAGGCCGATGAGGATGACTTAGACAGCCTTTTTCCTGCTCCTTCTTTTGCCATATGGCCACATCCTACATTTTTGGAGGAGGTTGGACCTTCTACTCCTTTCGTCCAATTAATTATGCAGGTTTGTCATATTTTGAATGTTACTCTTGTTTCCTATGATGCCACTCCTTCCCTTTTGTGTGAGATCCTTAACTCGGACTATTTGGTGTTCCTCCCTTCACAGTTTGAGGGTTAGTATGCCTCGATCAACTCAAATTTCTGACCAATACGCTTTAGCATTTCATTGCTCTACCTAATCTTATTTGGATTCCCAACAATGAGATCCGCTGTTACCCCTCTGAGGTTCTAATCCTGGGGCTTCTGTAACATTTTCACTGGTAAAATTTTCAAGGATTCATCTTACAACACTTACTAACATTTTGTGTTACCTCTCCTCATTGTACCTTTTGTCGTTCTCTTGATAAGGTTTGGGAAAACCCCAGATTCTTTCTCTTGTCGACTTTGATGAGGCTGTCATCGTCAACCCTTTCTCTACTTACCTGGCTGCTTTGTTGTTGGAACTTATTGGGGAGAGATGTGCTGCTTGTGAGAGGTTGTCTCACCCCATCTTCCCTCAGGGATTTGATAATGGCTCCATTTTTGCATGACATCATTTTTGGGAAGAAGGTGGTTATGGTGCATGCTAACAACTCCACAGTGGTCTCATACATCACCAAGCAAAGGGGTACCAAATCCAGGTCCCTTTGTTTTCTGACTCTGGAGCTCCTATTCTGGACTCACAAGCACTGGATATATTTCTTGACTTGCCATATTCCCATTTTTTAAAATCTTGTTGTGATCGGTTATCGCATCCACATAAGGTAATTCCCATGGAGTGGTCACTAGATCCTCAAATTTTTTGGTGGTTTTGCTCTCGCCTGGGAACCCTGCACATAGATTCATTTGCCACCAATCTGAATGACAAAATGCTGTCTTTTTCAGAATTTAGGGTTAGATGCCTTCATTCAGGAATGGAAGGCCTTCACTTTTATGCCTTCCCACCTATACGTCTCCTCCCCAAGGTAATCTACATCACTCTGTGTTGAGTTCTTTTGGTGCCTCCATTTTGGCTGGCTCAGCCTTGGTTCCCTCTTGTGAGGTCTCTACAATTGTCATTACCTCTGCTCCACCCTCTGTTTCCTTCTCTTCTTTGTCAACCTCATTTGGACATCTTCCATCCTGCTATTCCCACCCTCAGGCTAGACTTTTGGCTATTGTTGGTCCTTGCAAGAAGACAGGGTCTGACACTGTGTGTTGTTTCTCTCCTTTCCATGTTAGTGTGACCGTTTACAATTACAATTTACCAATGACGTTGGACTACTTTTCATCATTGGTCTCTCTGACATGATATCTGCCCCTCTCATCCTTCTGTTCTTTATTTTTCACAGTTCTTCACCTGACTGTTTGATCAAGATCTTTCGGTTTTAACAGATTCTGTTTATAGAGTAGCCTTGTCATACACGTTTTACCAGATTTTGCTGGGTCTTATCCTTTCCCTCCTTTTCTGGTCCTTTCATGTTCTTTGTCCTTGCTGTGCCTCCCTTGTGCATGATTGGAATCTTAATGTTGTCCTTTTTGGCCCTTCCCAACCTTCATTTGAACCTTTGGCTTCATGTTCCCTGTATCATCTTTCCCTCATGACCTATTTTCTTCTCCTCCTGGCTTGTGGTCATTGTAGGTCTGACTTTTTTGCAATAGATGTTTCCCATACCCTTTATCATAGTACATATATTGTGCTATACATGGAGTGTTCCATCCTTTCCAAGACCACAACAAACCGTGTAGGGAGATTCTGTCTTCACACTTATCCCCACCTCTTTCATGTCTCATATTTATTCCAGGTCAGATGTGGATCATCTTCTGTGTCCTGTGCAGACTGCATTGTTTATTCCCTGGAACCCTTCTGTGTCACATGACTTCTCCCCCAACACCATTATAGGTTGGTTCATCAGCTTATTATGATGGCTTGCTCTTCTCTCTCCTCCAAAGGGATTCGACTTTATTGTGTCTTGTCTCATCAGAATCGACGTATCACCATGACTCTAGCGGTTCATTTTTGTTGTTTTCTGTAGGAGATCATCCAGTCTGGAATGTGGACTACTCCATATACTTTTGTCACTCATTACCTACACCATCTGGCTGTATCCTTCTCTGGTGGATATTGTCTACTTCTTGTGGTGGTTCTACAAGCACAGATTTGTCTCTAACTTTGATTTTTTTCTTCTGTTATGTTTCTTTCAAGGGCTTTCTTTTGCTTTGATATAGATTTGGATCTTACTCAGTGGCGAGTATTGCCTGGTCAGACATACTTTCGTATAAACTTGCACCAAATACCTTTAAGATTATAATTCACACTGTTGAGATGGGATGTTCCACAAGATTGCTAGTGGCTTACCTAATGGTACATATATATATATATATATCTTTCTCAATATGTGGAATTCTGATAGGTATGTGGCAGACTGTCACTCATGGATTATCATATGTAAAGCAGAATGGGATTGCTGCCCATCCCTTCCACTCCTTTGACTGAACAAATCAGGAGTGGTCTACTTTTCAAAATAGGATTTTGCAGTCACCCATTGCACTTTTTCAGGTGTGATGTTTCTCCAAACTCCTAAATCCTCTTATCCCTTCTTTCCTCAAGTTGAGTTTGGTGAGTCCTTGCCTTCCTAGCTGCTGGGGTGGTGGACCATGGAGGCTTCCTTATGAGTATAGAACACACATCATAAAGTTCATATTATTCCACTCTGTTGAGAAGAGGACAAAGCTGAGAACCCTCTGGAGGTTTAATCCCAGGTTTGCTGAATTTAGTGGGAGCTGAACCAGGTAATGTTGGATCCTCCTCTTAATACTGGGTTAAGGTGGATAGTGCCTTGTTCCTACAGTTGAGACTGGTAGATTCCACCTTCTCAGTAATTCTGGTTGCAGGATGTTTCATTTCCCTGCTTCTGCAGTTGTGCTTGGGGGGCTTTGCTTCGTAATAC